ATTTATCATTTTAGTGCATTGAGATAATATTGAATCGTTTGACAGTAAAAAGACGTAATTAACAAATGGCTGAATTTTCCTCTTTTCGCTGAAAATTCCATCTATGAAGGTAATTATGTCGATTCATATTAAAAGGATAATTGCAATTTTAATAGTTATAAAATAATGTGTTTTCATATGAAATATACATTAACAAATAAAAAAAATTTTAATTTTCCGAAAATTAGATTTTGAAATTTTGATTTCATGGAATTACGTTATTGTGTATCGTCAAGCCAACCGTTTAATCATCATACCTTAATAACGCCGCAAGTGTGCATGGTCACACAATTTAAGGGCTCCTTGCTCAAATGATATACGGCAATGCAAACGCCCTTTAACACGTCTTTATTCTTGCTGGTCATGTAATTAATAAGCGGCGCCACGGCGTTCAATTTGCCAAATTCGTAATTATTCCGATCCCACTCGCAACAATAGGCTATCGCTAACGTCAGATTTGCGCGCAAATTTTCATCGTCCTTGAAAAAAAAGTGCTAATTAAAAAATTTTACAATTAACAAATATTATATACATTTAAGTGCAACTGCTTCGTGAAAAAAAGTAGAATAAATCTTTAAAATTGTGTAAATAATTTGGAGAAACAACATATACAAAATTGTATAAAGAGCATAATGGCTAAAAACTTATCCCTTACTTTTATATTTTAATTATTTTTATTCTTCCATGAAGCAGCCGCGCAAAATCCGCTGAAAAGAGTATCATAAATAGTAAAAAAGCACTAACAGTCTCCACGAGAGCGGCCAATTTCTTCACGACCCCATGATCTGTCAGGATGCCAAGATTCTCAGAATTGGTGGCGATCTCCGCGATCATAGCGCAAACTGCGCTGAGCACTTCCGTGTCCTTGCTTTCCAGGAGGCTGACTGTGAGCTCTAAACCGCCTACGAAGGCGCGTACCATTTCCGGTGAGTCCTTGGCATGCCTAATGCAGGGCACTAGCGCGAGGCAGGCGTTACGTTTGATTACGTCGCTGGGATGCTTCAGCAGGGACCAGACTAGCCGTACGCCATCCAGCCGATGCTCCGGATCATTGATGATGTCCATGCACTTGTCGTCGACGGCGCACTCTTTTAACACCAGCGGCACGTTCTCCAGTAATGGCTCATATGTGGCGCTCAACAGTCTGATCTGTAAAGGTACCCGAAGAGTTCATTCTGCGGTGTCGTCAATATCGAAATAACGAGGAAACGTTGATTGTCACAAATGACACAGCGCACGTTAACTCGATTATCTCCGAGAGAGCGGATTGCTCGCAAATCCGACGATACAAATTTTTGCCTCATTTGGAAACTCATATAAAGCCAAATGAGATAATTAAACATAAATGGATGACTGCGATAATATTTCAATGATAAAGTTAATAATTATTATAAAATCATTCAAATGGGAATCACAATGGGAATTCATTAAATAATTGTTTCGAGAATCATTAAGGGAATCGCGGCTATCGATTTTATCATTCGGATATAAATATCCGCTCTGCATGTTAGAGATGTTGTTCGCGTATTGAATTTTAATCTTTCTTTCCAATGTGATATCCTGATTCACTATTTTGTGTGTGTGTGTGTGTGTGTGTGTGTCAGAATTTTATGACTACTTTCTTCACTTACACACAATTAAATAAATAAAAAAGAACATAGATATTGTGCATTATTAATGTTTTTCATAGAATTTTCTATTTAAATATATAATAATACTTTTGATTCTCTACTGTATCTTATAGTTTTCGAAACTTTTTTGTATATACGTCTATTTAATTTTGTCATCCTAGTGTACAAGAGTCATCGTTCAACATGAAGGACCAGCAAGTTTTGGTCCAGCAACTGAGAAAGAAGAAAACAGAAGTGCACTTCCGGCGAAGCTGGCGCTTGAACAGTCTTTACCAGTTTCGGCAGCCCCTCGTTAGTCCTCAAGACTTCCCTGTTAGCGGGATCCTTACAGCATTCGGCGAGGGCGCCCACGACGTTGGCTAACACCCGTTCGTCCTCGTTTTCCTCGAGAAGTGGCACCAGCGATGTCACCAGATCGTTCTGATTGAATCTTGTTACGTTCTCCGGACTGATGGCGCACTTCCAAACGCTGCCCGTCACCGCGGCCAATAAGCGCTTATTGGCGCGTACCTCGTCGCTCTGCACGAGTTTGCAGAGCGGATCGAGACCGCCAGACCTACGCACCATCGACCGGGTTTCTCGATTCGAGGCGCATTTGAAGATCGCCAGGGCGCAGTTCTCCTTCAACTTCACGTTATCGTTTCTCAAATGCCGCACCAGCTCGTCGACGATGCCTACCCGCTCAAACGCTTCCCTGAAAACGTTCTGAAAACATACATATATAGCACCTGTCATTTGTCAATCACATTTAATATTTTGTAAGTAGATTACTTGACTACTTATAGGTCATTTCATAAAATCGTGACATTCGAGAACTCAAATTGAACTAAAATTTCTAAACTTCCAAATTAATAGTCTTCCACGTATAACAAAATTATATTAATTTATTCGGAATATATTTAGAAGTTAATATCTCTGAATTCTGTGACATTTAACTCGTTTTAAATTATAACTTTCTCTAATTTCTTCGATATTTGTGTATCAATTAAATTAAAAATTATTAGTATATTCGTATTAGCACATATAATACAATCTCGTAAAAAAGACGTACGTTTAACTAAGCTTGTTCATAAATAATTTGAAATAATTAGCTATATCTGTGAGATAAATATTTTATCAAGTAATAAGAGTATACCAAAGAAATAATGAATTTTTTTCGAATCTATTGAAACTGTGATGATGACAAATCACATATTTGTCGCAAAGATCTTTTTCTGTAAATAAACTATTACATTGTTTTAATGAGTAGTAAAACTAGAAAATTCAGTAAACCAGATCAGCGCACTGCTGCACAACGCCCATCGTCGGTACGATCAGTTGAGTGTGTTTCGATCTGAGGAAGCGCGACATCAGGCGCACGACACCGTACTTGCGGAGCTCTTCCGTAACTTTTGGACTGCTGCTCAAAGAATCCAAGACCTTGGCACAACCTATGGCAACTGCCATGAGTTCCTTGTTGGCCTCACTCAGTTCGTTGTATGGTCGACGGAGAACTTCGTCCGGCACGTCCATCACATCCAGCTGTTAAACAAAAATTTGAGTTAGTGAGATAAAAATTATAACAGAGCACAACGCTGTTGAAAAAAATGTATTTCAATATTCAATATTTAATTTCAATATTTAAATATTAAAAATTATATATATAGCAATTTTGTCACATTTTTTTCGTATAATTTATGCATTTATAACTTACTATGAGTGGTATTCCACCGCGAATTCGAATCTGTTTTCTGGCCTTCCTAACGTGAGCTATGATTGCCATTGTTTCGGCTGCTAAAACCTTTTGTTGAGAACAAAATCGATATCTTTTATATAAATGTAAAGTATGTAGAAAAAATTCACATAATAAAATCAGAAATTTAGAACTTTAGCATTTTTAATTACATAAAAATTGTATTAAGTAAATCGAATTTTAAATTGAGATAAATTCTATCGACAGTTACCCGATAAAATACGAAAACATCATTAAGATTAGGATCAACGAACGACCTGAATATCTCTAGCAGGATGTTTCAGCATTCGAATTAAAGGCGTCGCGATGTCCAAGTCGATTAGATATCGCTTCATCTCGATGGAGGTTGCAATTTGCAACAAGACCGATAGCGAGCCGTTTTGACACTTGATGTCGTTAGTTTCGAGGAGATTCACCAGAACCTCGAGACCACCCATTTCCTGAATAGCCTTCTGTATAATCTGTATTGCCGTAAACACCATGAAAATATTTTCAACCAAAACATTGTCGCAAATTAAGGAGTTTACGCGAGATAGAGAGAGACATTTGTTCAATTACAATTTATTTTAATAATTAATCTACCTTGTCAGTGAGATTGTAATCCTTCAGCAAGCACAAGGATACCATCGTGGCAGTCTGGTTGCCGGCCTTCATATACTTAATGAGTTTCTGTATGTGCCAGAATTCGGAAGGCACTTCTGGCTGATCCTCCTGATATCTGGCCTCCTCTTCACTTTCTGATTCCGGCTCGTCGTCCGAGCTTTCCTCCTCGGCTTTCTCACTGATAATGCGAACACGAGGGCCATAAGGCTCGCCGGTGAGCAGGGATACTTGCGGTTTCGAAGACTCCGGTTCAACCACCTCTGCGATTTCCGGCTCTGGCCTACCAAAGTAAATCAAATATTATTTAAGTCTATATTTCGAAAGATTTTTTCTATTAAAAATTATTCATAGATCACAATTTTTTAAACTTGATCTTGCATAAATTTGTGTTCTGTTGCTCACTCAGAATGCTCCATTTCCAATGGTACGATCTCTTTCTTTTTCTTCGGAGGCATTTTTCAAAGTAAATGTTAAATTGGCAGTAAATTCTCTTTTAAAATAGCAAAAGAAATAATTTTTTTTCAAGAAATATGCTGTTTTATTTCTCTGCTTTTATTGTTCGAGATACGTCTGACAGTTTCCATGCTTGTCCGCACTGAAATGGCATACTATCGATCAAACATTGCTAATTTTACTCCAAATTCAACGCTTCACTAAAAATAAATAAATATTTTACACTTACTGGAAGAAGAATAAGATATTTCCAATAATTGTATTTTCGATAATTGTATATCATCATTTTCCTCTTATTATCTGAAGTGAAGCACTCACAGATACGTCAGTTTCTATTTAAAATTTTCAGTTATTTTTGAATATCACCGTAATGTTCATGTATAAACCACACAAAAAAAGAATTACATAAATTATTGACAATCAGATGTGTTAAAAGTAGCTTGTAAAATTATGTCTTTTTTTGTTGCCGCAAAATTGATTTGACATGTAATATCCGTAATAAAAAGTAATTTGTTTTGGCGAGAAAAAAATTGTAACCGATTGAAATGGAAAAAAGCAAAATCTCGTATAAATCAAACGAATTCGAGTTTGTTGGTGAACCGGATAGAACGATATAGCGATCTCCACAAAAATATGTATTGCCTGAAAAAACTGCAGATGATATGAAGATATGAAAGAGGATCATACGACATGACCAAATGTTTATCGTACATATACACGCTTCTCCGTTCGCCGTTATTTTACTCTTGCTGTCGTTGAGCACGTGGCTTTGCATTTGCCGATGGGGATTTGGTTACAACCTGAAAGACCAAGAAGTAATTCGTGCATAAATATTACGATTTCCTTATAGAAATATTTCAAATACATAACGATCTTAAAAAAATATTCTTTCTTGTAATATACTTTTATTTTGTAGATTGTCCGTTGCTTGGTGGCCTACTTTATTATTATCACATTATTGAACGTACTATTTTTAGGACACATACGATTCTTTTGCGATTATCCACCGGAAATAAATAATTAATCAGGTACATTAAATTATAAAATAATATAGACCATTTAAGAAATTTTTTTATTTTTTAATTCATTTAAATTCTAATTTATTTATTTTTACTTTATTCTTATTTTATATTCTTATCTTATAATACTTTTACATTTAAATAATAAAAATAATAATTTGTAATTTTGCAAATCAATCGTTAATCAATAATTAGTAAATTTTGGATAAAATTTTTTGTAAGATTATTAAGTGCAGTTTCTATATTTAAAATAAAGTAGACAGAGAGAAAAAACAAGGGATAACTAAAACAGATTTTTATATTTGTTTACATCATTTCGAGTTATCGATTTCATTTTAGTTCATAGCCACTAGATGGCATTACATTCATCGCTTTTAGTCAAGAAAATATTTGGTTACGTCTCCAGGCTGAGTGCAAGAGAGCAAGGTATTAATTTGCAAACAAATAAATAATTCTTTGCGGCATATTTTAATGAAAAAATAACTTGCTTAGTGTGTGTGTGTAAAAAGTGATTATAGTTGTCAGTATCATTCAAAATAACGTGATCAATTGACAGTTCTTATTCCACATAACCTTAAAACGAGAGAAACTTTGTTTTAAATAATATTTATTAATAATTTTGAAATTTTGAAACCTAGCGAGAAAAAATACATTTTTGTAGTATTATATTAATTTTAATATAGATTCTTATTTTAAGTCTACTATGTTTGTACAGTATTGTTTGTATTGTTTGTATGATAAAGTTATGATGTTCATGAATAGATATAAAAATACTATAAAAAATATAAAATATATATTTTTCCTCGATTTCTTTTTCAGATGGGTCTCGCGCGACATGCTCAATTTATCAGCCGTACAATCTTTGTACATAACAACAACATAGACAAGGCATGTCGCACATTAAATCGTATATTGGCCAATGAAGATATTTTTGGCCAATACAGACGCACCAGGTACTATGAGAAACCGACGCAGGTCAGACGCAGGGTCAACTTTGAAAAGTGCAAGGCCATTTACAACGAGGATATGAACAGAAAGATTCAATTTCTCCTGAGAAAAAACAGAGTGGACCCTTTTCCTGGTGCATCGTAAGATTACAGATCCTATTTTAAGTTATACATTTACAAAGCTATCTACAAGTTGATTTACATAATTATTTATGAATATGTCAGTATCAGAAATATAGAAAATGTTCTATTACAATAATGCTGAATTATTTCTATTATTACTATTTTGCTCCTGTTACATACCTCGACATATTTGGCATAATTTGATATAAAATAATTCAGGAGACTATTTATATATATATAAATTTTCTTTTAATCGACGCAATGTTATTGATATTTATATTTAGTTATATTGATTTTTGTCAGTAATATTTAATACTTTTGCATTCGGAAATATCTCGGTATATGTTTATACATATTAATGAATTAGATTAATGAAGATATAAAAATATAACTTATACATCTTGAGAGATCGATAAGAAACGCGTGAAACGATAGGTCAACAGTATAACGATTTAAAACGCTAATGCAGCGCCAAGAGACAAAATGAAAAATTATCCTGGCAGATAGCGAAACGCGTTCTTCCGCTATCTTGCGCCGTAAGTAACTCAAGGAAGCCCGCGAGAAAAACGCGCGTCCCTTTTTTTTTCTCCTCCTTCCATAAGCGACTTCTATCATCTTTCTTTCGCGATAGGCGAGAAAAGACAAAACGTCCGGCTGGTCGGTCCTCTTGGCAACGAGTCCGCCAACTTGGCGAAAATTGAATAGATAGTGGTGCCCCGACCATGCCAAGTTTTCCACCGGGGGTTGCTGGTGCGGTTGGGGGAGAAGATTTGGTCTATCCCGTAGAGGTGCCGAGAAAGAGCGAGAGAGAAAGAGAGAACGTGCGGTCGCTCTTGTATCCTCCATTTAGCGATAACGCGGACAGTGTTATTAGAGTAAGATAAGTAGTTCTGCTCACGCCCGTGACTCGATTTTCGAAATCGTTTCCACAACGAAAAGCATTTGACGAAACGTCGCGCTGAAATGTTAACGCGAAACAGGAAACAAGATCTTTATACGTTACGTTCGTTTATCTTCAACGTCACACATGGCTTTCCTTCGAGTACGCGTTCAATTTTCAAACGTTGCGTTGACGTTAAATTGGTGTTTGAATTATGTAAGCGTCACGTTATCCCGAATGATTAAAAATTATTTTTATACAGTTGCAGTCTAAAAATGATTAAATGGGTTAATAAATTAATAATCATATTTTGAACAAAAGGGGAGATTATCTCTTAAATCGTCACTTGTTAAAAAATTATATGTGTACACACTCAGAGGTAAAAATATCTCAAAAGTGACTGAAATACTTCTCACAATGAATAAACCAATCCTTGAAAGGATTAAAGGGCTGTAAATTCCAAGAGGTCGCAGAGATGCTCCTCAATGCGCTCGACAAGTCGTATGATTCGCGATTTATTTGACCTCGGCCGTCATAAATCCCGACCGGCGGTGTCGTTGTTCCCGTAACTAGGAATGGCAAACGGATCTCACTTTAACCATCGGGACCGCACAGTGTCGCGCTACCGAAGAGAGAAGACCGTAGAAGAGACGAGATCGAGTCGTCTCGCGCTTGAGAAGGCGGTTTGGCTTAACTCCCGGGAATCTGGATCCGTAACTATTCGACGAACTACTCGCAAGACAGTTTGCCCAGAAACCGGATTTCTCAGTCCTCCCGGGGGATGCCACCCTGCCTGCGGCTCCCCTCTTACTCTTCAATCTCCTCCAGCCCTCACCGCCGTCCTCTTCTCCCCGACCATTTCGATTCGAAACTCTGGCGTGTGCCCTCTCCACGCGGCCGCGAATGACACGATGGCTCCATTATTGCGCGAGTGCTTTTGGGTATTACGTTATGCGGTGAGATCAGATGTCAAGCATGCCGTCGAAACTGTCGAGATGTGGATTGAACGTATATGTAAAACCTGTAGAGTCTATTTGCTTAGAGAAAAAGTACAAATCGACTGTACATTTCTTTCTCAATCTCTCTTAATCTCGGATTTATGTCACGCTATTAAAAATATTACTTTTGGAATGTATATTATTTATAGCCTCATGACAAAACAACCAAGTTTTAATTTCCATAAAAAAAACATAGAAGAGATAATTAATGTTTAAACTCTTAAAAATTACCGAAGTTGAATTTATTTACATGCGATTAAGCCTCGAATTAAATTTCTTTCAAAAATTTATTTTGAATCTATTAAAAAGTATAAATCACAAAAGATTTATTAATAACTAACTTATAACTACTTATAGTTACTTATCTCTAATTTTATCTATTTTAAAATAGAAATCTATTTTTAATATAAACTTTGTACTATTGTGCTAAAATTATTCTCAATGATTAGGTAAAGATCGATGAACAGGTAGGTCTGTTAAAAAATACACAGGTGCTATCACGTCGATTCTTGAATTTTCCGTACCATTTTTCGTATATCTATGCTGGATATCGATAAAAGTACAGAGTCGAGAGGACTGTGAAATTTTTGTTTAAACATTGTTCCGACGTTTGCCTCGCTTATCAAAACGTTTGCAGCGAGGTAAAATTATGTCGGTCGGGCGTCTTTAAAGCGAGACTCGCGCGGATCGTTTTCCCGCGAGACGGACGCATCTCAACTCGCGTATCCACGCGATTCTACCGAATGTTCGCAAAGTTTCAACTGCATCGAAAATTTCGGATTTAGAGTTTGCCTTGTCAGTTTGTGGGCAAACCGTGCTTACCGCAAACTTTATCTGCAATGACACCGACTTATCCTCTCGCTCTCTATAGATCAGTTGGAAATATTTGTTCGATTACTGTTTGAAAAAGAAGTGACATTATTTTTCGAAGATTACGCGCCGAAGACTAAATCGTTTGCGAATGATAAATATAGATATTTTTTGTCATTAGGCCATAATGATTAGTACAATGTCCATTATAAAAATAATATTTTTAATAACATGTAAATCCGCGGGACTAAGAGAGATTGAGAAAAAAAATATATAGCCGATTTGCACTCTTTATTAAAGCGATCCAATTATGTGCACGTGCCCGCACGCAGATGCCCACTTCTCGAAGCAAAAAAAAACATAAAAGCTGCTCGTTAGCTTTTCGTGGTTGTTACACCATTACAAAAACCCGGAAAATGATGGCATTTATCCATCAAAATCTCACATCGCAGAATTAACCGTCTTTTAGTAAGACAGCTACGTCGTCTTTTTCGAGAAATACGCTTATCAAAAAACTTTTACGACGATATTTTTGTGTCTGTCCTCGGACAGACTCTTGGCGAAAAAGTTTGCTAGGCGGAATTAGCGGGAAACTTTATAGCCACGGTCGTAAAGCACCAGTCGCGAAGTTAAACCGTGCACGCGCGCTGATCTTTCCTCTCTTTTTTTCTCTTCCGCCGCACGCGCGCAGCGCGTACCCCATTTCTCTGATTTTCCGCATTCAATGAAACCTACTTAAGTCAGTTGTTCGCTCGTTGTAAACCGTTAAAAATAAATTTGTTGTGTGTGAAAATTTTGCTGTGACAAAAATGTCATCATAAAAATAAATTACATAGATGCTAAGATGGCATAGATGTTAAAAAATGATCTAATATATCTCCTCTCGTAATGTTCGCTTTCAAGAAAAATTTGTGCATTGAAACATTTATGTCATCTAATTTCGGTGGCAAAGTTACTACGCCGAAAATGAAGGTTGAACTGGAAATTCCGAGTGAAACATATGGAAATGGTGAATCTTAAATGCGACCGGGATAGCTACGAAATATTAATGATGATCGATTCTCGCCTGAAATTCACTTCTCCCTCTTCAATTTTGAATTCGACCGCGATATCAGCATCAACATCAATGATATGAATAAACTTGCAAACTGAACGCGAAACTGATGCTTGATCCGGCGTGGCTAAAATCGACGTTATTTTCCTCGTCACACACAAGTCATACATTCTTATCGTTCGCTAAATGCGACTGTTTATTCTGAATATTTCTTTTTTTAATTCTTCAATAGAAAGATCGAATATCAATGCCAATGAAATTAAGAGTATCACGACGATGAGATACCGAGCGGATTTATTCATGCGATGCATCCAATCGATTTGCCAAATATCAATATCTTTTCTATAAGTCCTTCGCAAGGGCGGCGAGGAGGGTGGAGGAGAATGATGTCGTTCGTTGTAGAACGATTACTACGGGAACCGTGGCCGCTCATGAATAGCCGAGAAAGGCCGAGTGTACAAAAGCGCGCGCGAGCGGCACAGAAACGGCCGGTGTCCTCTCGTGCATATTGCAAGGGAAGCCTCAAAATTACTTTCGGGCTCGGTAGTTAATGCGCGCCGCTGGGGCTTTAAATATTCCAATTGACGAAGTTCGCCGCGTCGTCGGTCGGTTCGTCGGTCGATCGCCCAACGCGCGACAATAGGTGCACCGAGAAAACTAAATGAGCCGCGACGTAATTCAGAGTCGCCAAGTTTTGTGTGCGCGCGCTTGAATCGGCCGCGTCACGTCACGGTCGACGCTGAACTCCGTTCGGCAAACTCACCCCTTGTCTGGCAAAGGGCAAAGTTTTGATCGCGTCTATCGAACGATAGATGAACTGGCGAATGATCCAACTAAAAAAAAGAAACGTTTTGTCAAACAATTTATTTGATTGCATTTTAATTTATTTGTTTTTCCCTTGAATGAGATTATCGTTTTCATCGCGTATTTGTCTTTGGAATTGAGATGGAAATTTCCGGACGATATATTAATTGAACAGTAATGTAAACATATAATGGGAGAACCACATCGTATATTATTCATTGAAATATATGCAATTCTGAAAAGAATAAATAATAATTAAATAAATCTGCATACGAAAATATAAGAAAGTAAAAAATACCACGAGCGGACTCCGTTGACGTCAGTCTCTACGCGTGGAGTGATCGAAATTCAGAATAAAACGACAAATTCACATTTAGCCAGCAAGAATATACGGTAGAAACATGGGTTCTGTTGTGCGTGAGAAAAGCTGCGTCAGTTATTTCAGCGCCACGAGAAATCGATGTTAAAGATGTTACATCGTCGCCGTCGACACCGCGGTGTCCTATACGGCGGCGGTCGAGTTGGTTGAAAATCGACGAAAATCAACGAAAAGGAAGCGTGAGAGAACGAGAGGCGAAGGACGTTTCGAGAGGGCGATCGATGAATATGGAACGGAAAAAAAAGTGTTCGCGCATAGGAATAAAGACGGAAATATTCGCTAGCGACTTCGCTATCGTATATATACATACGCAGCATTACCAAGACACGCGTGAGTTTCTACGAGTCTGAGGCATTGACGTACATTCAATTTGATGCTAATGCTTGCAGATGATATACCACAAAGGTATCAGGCCACTGATGAAAGTTAAACAGTCGGTGCTGCGCGGTAACGAATGGCAAAGTGGTATTACAATAACTTTCATATTCCGGCTAAGTATACATACAGTGGCGGAACAATACGCGTTATACGAGGATTTTCGTCGTTCCTTTAGGAACAATGAGCATTAATACGTAAATATTTGTCCGCGACACACGTGTCGTTTTATTGAATCGCAATATTATTATGACCTGCATTAATACGGCCGAATATACAGTTTCAATTTACGAGACAGAAATACAAATATTTACAAGATAAAACGATTGTGTATATGATGTGTAACATATTAATCATTAAATTAAATCTTTTACACAGAGCTAATTAACATTTTTGACAAGATTTTATCAGGAACGCAGTGTGTCACACCGAATTGTTTCTTAGATACACATGTCTTAATTGTAGATATTACGGAACAAAAATTATTATCATCATAAATTAATGCTTATTGTTCTCAATCAAGGAAGAAAGATTCTTCTATTTGTTAATTATATAACAATTGCAAAGAACCGATGAGAAATTGAACCGATATTTTTCCATAATGATATTATAACATCAATTAAAAATTATTCGATGAAACGATTCGATCATACCTCGACAATAATAGAACGCGCTTTTTGTACATCCTGCGACTTCTTGACCCGTCTTTTCTTTCATCCTTGTCCCATTTTTGCAACAACTACCCTCGACAGCGAGGACGGTGTCACTGTAGTTCATCGATGTGCGTCACTCGGCGTCCGCCGTCTCGGCGTCGTCTTTTTATTTACTTATTTTCCTCCCTTCATTCACTCTCCCTCGTTTCTCTCCCTATCTCTTTCTCTCTAACTCTTGAAAACGGTTTGACTACGTAGAACGCGAACCGCCCCATTTGCATGGATTTCAATCTCAAAGATCGCGAGCAGTATCCTTCGGATAGAACCTCGTCGTCGTTACCCCTTTCTACTTTGAATTAATGGCCTGGACCATACAGCATCTAATGGATATTCTTAGACAATTTTAATTTCTTACTTTATTATTTATTTTAATTATTCAATGACGATATTTGCCAGATAGAAATCATTATTCTTTTTAGCGTGAATTAATATTAAAGCGACTGCACAACATTCAGCGAATATCTTTGATGCGTTTGTGTGTGTGTGAATAATTTTAGCATTTTAACACAAGTTATTAATTTCGAATATATTAAACTTAACTTAACTTGGCCTGTAATAAAAATTATCCCTCATCCATTTTTAAACAGATAAAAATGTGCAACATCCGCCGCGGATACTTTGTACACCAGATGCAATTTGTGTAGCGATTATGAGGAGCCAAGTATACTCATACATCGAAACGCGAACTGCTTTCGGCGAAACAGTGAAGCGAGAACGAAGTAGCTTTTTACTGTCTCGTTCACGGGAGGGAGTTTCTACGAATGGCGCCGGTGAAGTTGGAAAACTCGCCGTACATACTAGTATAACGCTAAGAAACTTTTAATGAAAATCGAGCAAGACTCTTTTCTATCCCGTGATCTTTCGTCCTAGGGAACAGATTCCAAAATGGTTTTCCGAAATTCTATTTATCCCGGATGCGCGCTGTGTACTGTCTATACAAAGTATATTCTGTTGTGTGTGAGATACCTGTGCCTGTCGTTTTGTATTTATTTATTTTCAGTATTCTTCATACACGACTGGAGAAAAAGAGTTTATATTCCGTATAATAATACAAGGAATATAATTTCAATAGGAACATGAGTTACGCCTCCTAAATAATCTTCTTCACGACTGATAAGAGATATCAGATGTCGCGACTATTTAAATTTAAATTAACAAAAATTCTCGAGAAATCCACGATTTACCTTACAGCTATGTGAAAATTTCAATTTCACTATTCCGGTTTCTCAGAAATAATAGAAAAAGTCGAAATAAAAAAACAATCATAAATCACAGAGAGGTGATACAATCGTATCTGGACAACCCCGTTCTCGCAAAGCGCGCGAAATGCCGCTCTTTTTCGCTCATTCTCCATCCTCTTCTCTTTTTTTTTTCCTCTCCTCTGCTCATGCGGCCGCTTTGATTCGCGCACTCATAAGAGTTCGATTAATAAAATCTCACGCCAGTTGAACGAGCCGAATGACGTCGGCGCCATCAGGCGCGACGACGGTGCATGACGATGACGCGGAAGACGGCCCGATCAGTCTTGCGACGAGTCAGATCCGCAAGATGGAAAAAGAGAAACTGATAGAAATGAAAAGAGACGGAAGGATCGCGGGACCGGTGGCGTGAGCGATTCACGCATGCGTTCTGGTGCCTTCGAAACTCGGCGGGCATTCTCGCCGTGGTCGTACGAGTCAGTAGTGCACGGTCGGTCGCGCGGTACATACGTCCAGTGAATTTTGTGCTGTGGAAACACGCGAGTAAAAAAAAAAAAGAACGAGTAAAAAAACAACCGCACGCAAGTCAGTTAAACAGCACGCGCGACACTACTTTCTACCTTTTCTTTCTCACTTACTCTCTCGTCTGTGTGTGCACGAGAGATTCTTGGTTCTGAAGGACACAGACAAGGAGGAATTTTTCGGTTCGTTTGCGCGACTCCGTGTTTGATTCGTCAACGAGAAAAATTCTGGGTGACGACTCATTCGTGGCGGTGCAATAGACACATAACTAGAGGCGGGTTGGAACATGAAAACACCTATGGAGAATCAGCTGTCGTGGCTCGCGCTGTTCATGACTGCCTTCTATTCCTGTGAGTACATCATTCAGCTTCTCACGTCTTACTCCGGTAATCACTGACAACCGGCGAGCCGGCATCTTCATGTCAATTTAACGTATTTTTTTATATTACATGAATTTTGTACATGACATTTTTCGCACTTATTTTTTCGCTGTTTCTATCTGCAAAATCTACTAAAGCAGGCTTATTTTTTATTTTTTTTTTTTTATACAAAAAGCGTAAGTGAGATAAGCCGACTTGTGTCACCTGTGAACTTTTTAATCGGAATGCGTTAGCAGCGAGCGAACTAAATCCTACAAATTCGGATATTTATTTTTGTTTGTGATATTTTTTTAATTCGTAGTAAGCCTTTCGAAAAATTTGTTGTCTTGTCGTTTTCCACCTAAAATTCCTATCTAAAATTACAAATTTCTCGTTATTGCGCGTTTCTGCTAATCGCCATGCATTTCCTTATTTGGTTCGAACTTTCCTGACGTAACTATTGTTGTTGTTATCACGCGCGCCACACTTTAATGTCATGACATTTGTTATGAAGTACTCACATCCGACGTGCATGAAAACGACACGCTTTAAGGGATGAAGGATATATATCATCCGCAAAGACAACAGCTGTTCCGTTGTACGTTGCGATCACGAAATGCACGTGATTGTTATGTTAATTAGGAGGTCGTAAAATCGAAAGATGATTTGTGGGCAGCGTGTGATATGATGACCACTGCAAATCGCACGGGTATAATTTCGCACATTTCAGCAGTATTCTCATGAAAATAACATATCATTGTAACCGACATTTATTTTCGAATTTGACACTACATATGACTCGTCCGCAATACTATGTCAACACTGAACGTAATCTTCATATTGAATGAATGTAACATAAAACAATTAAATAACATAAATAAGTAGGAATGTATAAAATAACAAATATTACATATATTTTATACGCTGATACTATAAACGCACTAAACTAGGGAGACTAGAATCACTTTCGGAATGAACACGCAATAAGTGCGCGCGACACCCTGGTCTCTTTCGCGAAACGTAGGTCAAGGACGTTGCTTCAAGTGCATAACGGCGGAGGAGGATCGGCGGCGGTGCACAGATTAAAGCAGGACGTGCACGACGACGCCGCGTCGCAGCATCGTCACTTAAAATCTATGATAAAAGCGCGAAGACACGCGAGACGAACGCTAAACGCACATACGAGAGCTTGAACGGTTCACCTCAAAGTCAGTTAATTTTCAATGTGCGGAAACACGCGCAAAGTGCCAGGTTTCGGTAAAATTTAGAACCCGAAGTGTTCTAAATTTTGAAATTAACAACTTAAACGCGTTTCGACGCTTCATAAATATTTTACATCGAAATGAAACTTTTACATTTGATCGTACATTATTTCGATCGTCGAATCTTCCAATATCTTTAATGAAACTTTTTAAATTATACTTGAAATTAATTTCGCGCGAAATTAACTTTAGCTTAGTTCGAGCTATTCCTTGCCTCTTTTTACTTTCAGCTCCGGAGCAAGGGACAAATGATCAGTTAAACTACGGTTAAAGTTAACGACGACGGTCGTCGGAGAGAGAAAGAGAAAGAGAGAGAGAGAGAGAGGTCGTAAAAAGGCGGGAAAATTTCTGCGATGGAAAGCGTCGCGCTAGGGCTTAATTCGGCCTCATTTGGGGTGCCGTGCGAACGTAGTAATTAGCGTCGCGCTGCAAAATTGGGACGTTTAATTAGAGCGGAGATTGATACTACACTCGCGTAGCGAGCATACAAGCAAAAATTCTCAAAGTATCGACCAAGTTTTATCTAATTAGGTCGTGAGCACAAGTTTGTGCGTTCCTCTTCCACCCATATCCTTTGGTGGCGCCGCGACGTTCCGAGTTTATCGAAGGGGTTAGATATCTGTGTTAGCGCGAAGGAAGCTTTCCGACTATTAGCGCCACAACTCCTGCCTCCGTATTCCACTTATCTGTGCCGTTTATTTCGAGAGCGAACGCGAATCGATTTCTAGTAGTCCATTAATCTGTCACTGTCATTGCGCTACTGAAATTTACTCATTTATTAAAGAATATTGTTGTTCGATAAAATGTATCGAATTAGATTCATATTTATTTCACAATATTAAATAAATTGAACAAAAATATTAATTTTTTTTTTTTTTAAGTGACAAAGATCTTGAAAGTTATATTTAATTAAAATTCAATCGTTACACGTTCGACACGTGTCTGAATTTCAAATGAAGAATTAGAATAGAACATAATGCAGCGATTACACGACATTTTTATCGAATCGATCAAAAACTAATTTTAATCTATTCCTCAAATAAGTGACTGACGCGAGAGGCAATCGAGAAATATCCGAAATGTTCGAACCCTTTGATTGTCGAGCTGTCTAAATATATCATAATAAAGTATAATAATTTGAAGTTACTGTCTGAGGCAAAAGCGCTAGATAGAGTGTGCGAGTTTGGAATACGAAATACAGCACACAATTAATCTCGTGGCTGACGTTTCTGTAAATTGTGTTTACAACGGGTCTAATCATCTCAGACATCCGAGAAGAGTGACGATAATCGGCGGCCTTGAATTCATTCAGAGCATATTTGCGCGATGCAGATGCGGGAAAACGAGTAAACAAGATGATCCATTCGCTTTTATTACTGTCTAATTGTGACACGATGCATGAATGGTAAACATTAGTGGCACATATCGACCATATTGCTATTTTGATTTGCAGATAGCGGTATTTAGCGTGTTGCAACGGTGGCGTTAATTCTGAATAAATTCTCAGACGCACATTTCCCGAATGATACGGCGCTGAGTTACATCATCGCTTCGTATAGCGGAAACATCGTTAGATAATTGACTTGTTTACTAAACTTTATTGTTTTATCACTTATTAAACTACATCAATTCGTTTCATTTTATCATATTTGTCCCAATTATTAATTTCAAACAATCGAGAAAGTAATTAATAAACCTGACCTGACACATGATTTGATTAGCTTCGATTTTCCAACATATATGAGATCAAACTAATCAATTAATAATTAAACGTATAATAAATTTAACGTAGAATTGCAATGAAGAAATGAGAATGTAAGAATTATATTTTTGTTACGAAGAGAAGCGCTCATCTAAAACGATTCTAGATCTGTCCTTTCGCGACGAGACGGTTCACGCTACCGAAATAGCCACGACGGCGCTCAGCGACCACGTGGGTAACTCGCTCCGTTACATCGTACGAGATGACGTAGCGCTCAACGATTGGTCGAGCAGATGGGTGTGAGCTCTCGCCTCACCTTTTATTACGTACACGCACACACGCGCGAGCTCACGCCATGCCGCGTCACGCCACGAGAAAAGCATCCTCGATATCTAACCGACGACTCGTTTTTCCACGACGGCCAAGCGAGAGAGAAAGAGAGCGGAGAAACCTCTTTCGGAACTATTAGAAGAGAGGAAGAGACAGAGAGAGAAAGAGTGAGAGCAGCCGGTTTGCTCGCGCTCGCGCGCGCGTGGCACATTCCGTCGGAGTTTAAGTTGCTCCCCACGTAACTACACGCGAGAGCGAGGACTTGTTGCATGGTAAAGAGAGAAGAAGCGTCTCACGGCTGCTTCGCAAAAAATGCACAATTTCAGGGTACAAGCTTTACAGACCTTTTTAGATCAGTATTTGACGCTACTAGATATTTTTAGTGCGTTGATTTCTGGTAGCTCTCTACGCCTGTTCCTCTGTCTTACATCTTCCGCATTTTTTTCTTTCTAAATATATTGGTAGTAGCAATCTATTTTGCGTTTATGCTCTCTCCATTTCTCTCTTCATTTTCGAAATAAGATATTATTCGAAAAAAGATGGAATAATATTATGGCAAAATAATACATAACATGAAAAACAATATGCGCACACACACATGCACAGACAAAAACGAGAAATAGGAACCGAGTAATAAACATGCAATGGAGCAAATTACTTATTTAAGTTAGCAAATTCCTGTCGCTCACATGTGTATATACCTATATCATTTTAAATGCAGAGAATGCAAAAGAGAGTGTAGCTATAAAACAAACAGCTACCGTTCTCCCTTGCGAGAGCTATCTTTCATTTATGAAAAATAAAATTGAGATAAAACAGCGAATTGTAGACGGTGGATGGATGTACCGGTTATGACGGATGCAAATACATTGCTGTAATAGATAATTCAAGTTCTTTGCTAAATAGAAATATTTTCTGGTTAATGATCAGAGAGGAAAATTATAACTTGTCTGTATAGTTACGCGCAAACTCAATTACGCTTTTTTCTTGTAAATGTTGCTTTTATCACAACTTTGGCGGGCATTTTTTATTTACAGAAGTTCATAAAAGATTTCATAGATATGACCTGGATTTTACGATTTTTCAATACCATGCACGACATATTACATTACGAATTGTTGATCGTATAATACGAGCTTGACCTGAGATTTTCAAGGAAATCAAGTATTGGCGTCCGTTCAAAAGGTGTATCGATGTTTACCTCGGATTTCGTTAATATTACCGCGAGTGTCGCAAGAATTTTTGCGAGGCAACAAAACCGGTATCGGTATATCGGTATCATTACGTGCGCTCGAACGTATATATAGGCGGGGTTTCGTGAAATCGACGCGCACTGTCATTTCGAGTGAAATGTATCAACGTCGATTAGCGCTAATATTCGATAATATGGATGGCACATTGCTAACCGGCGTTAGTTAACCTAAACTATGGTGATGAGTCAGCCTCAGTATTAAATGTGGCGCTAAATGGTGGTGCGAATAGGCTGTCTTATCTGGAACACGGACTAAGGCTGAGTTGTAACAAGAGTCTCAATTTATCAGCCCTGGATTAGTGATTCTCTCTGTCCTTTCTCTAAATCAGTGAATTCTTCTTTAAGGGAGAAAATTGGTTCACTGCAATTAATACCTTTATAGTGGTCTCATTGCCTATAACGTATTCTCTATGTTAAACATATATATTTAATATTTATTGAATAC